CACCAACAATACACAAAACAAAGATTAGGGTTACTTGATCCTTTGAGTGCCAAAATTAAATTCAAAGGAGTGTATCGTTGCCTTCATCTATAAAAGGCAACAAGTCCACCCAGCATGACTCATTCTATTTTTATAGCCTAGGTTTCATAGGTCATTTATTTAGTTTTTCCTTCCATTCATCGAAGCACCAATTGTATTTATTTGTCAATAAAGCAATCATACTTCTTGCTTTCCTTAGTGTACCTTTAGTTTTTTTTTTTATTTTAACACTCTAAGATTTTGTTTGGTTCAAAGGAAGGGGAGGGGAGGAGAGCTCCCCCCCAATTTGGGGGGAGGTTTTGGAAGGAAGGGGAAGGGAAATTTCTAAAATTTTTCCTCCCATCCCCTCTAACTAAACAGAGTTTAAGAAAATTATTATAGATGACATTAGGATCACACACAGTCAGTTGATTCACTACTCACTTTGAGGGTCTATTTTTTTGACATGCTTGGTAAATTCACTAAGGGCACCGCACTCCAATTCTAAGACCAAACCAACAATTAGTTATTTTTTAATTTTATAATATTTATCTTTATTTATGTTTTATAAAAATAATTTATTATTTAATTATTTTAAATGTTGATAATATCTTTGTGTATCTTGCATTTTTAAAACATTCTTTCTCATATATCATTTTAGATCATTTTTAGAAACTACTTAAAGTAATTTATTAAAATAATTAGAATTTTTTTTGGATTTTGAATTATTTTCAAAAGTTTAAATAAATATCATAAAAATATAAAATAAAATTTTCAAAAAAATGATTTTTTTAAAAATAAGTTGAATCAAATCAGACCAAAATTTCATAAAATAGATTCTCTACAAAAAAATAAGTGGTTTTTTTAATGAAAAAAGCTCGACTATTTTTTTTTATGAAAAATAAATTGGTCCATAATTTATGTTTGACTGCTTTTTTTTAAAAGCCAAAAGTTGAAGTAAAAAATGTATATTTTCAGTTTTAATATAAATGGTTTTTGAACCAAAAGCTCTCCTTTGGCTATTTTGTTTTTCCAACATCTTTTCAGGCTTTTCAATAAACTTTTATGACTTAAACAACTTGGACTACCCAAATTTCAGCTTATATTTTATCCAAACATAGCCTTAGTTGCAGATGCCTTAAGCCTTTAACACTCCTTGAAATCATACTTTTTTCAGAAAAGCTTATGCCCATGAAAATATAACAGAAAACTTAAAGTACAAATTAGTATATAAATAATATATTTCACACATATGACAAAATCACTGGATTGAAATCTATAAAAATATTAGGTAGCTTAGCATATATTCTCAATAACCAAGAGAGATGCTCTTTGGATTGTTGCAAAATGTCACAAGCTGTATTTAATTGCAAATGATGATATAGACTAGTTTTGAAAAGAAGAGCATGATATTAATTAATTGAAACCCTTACAGATGAATAATTGAATACGAGGAGGAAGCATATGAAGCTTGCAAAGTTTCTCCTTAAAAAAAAAAAAAAACTGTCATAGCCATCTTTTCATCGTGTAAATGTGCCTCTTGTTTCTTTGCCTGCCAGGGGGATCTTTTTATTTTTATTGGTCATAAAGTTTTTGTTCTTTTTGTTGAGACTGTTAGCTTTTACCAAAGAGAATGACAAAAAATTCGCTCGTCCCCTCCTTTTAGAGTCTAAAATTTGAGCAGGTTTTATTTGAGTTGGACTCATTTTAAATATAATTTATTCAGATTAAATTTAAAATAATATATATATATATATAAATTATATAGTTAAATTCGATCCTAATATATAAAGTTTATTTGAGTGAACCCAAAAACCTGAATTATTAAATATTATTTTATTTTTTAGCTAATTTCAATTTTATCTAAAAAATTAAGATTTTCAACTTTTATCTTATTTTAGGTTTATTTTATTAACAATATAAAATTTTGGATATTTGAGTTAAGTCCATTTAGGTTCAGCCTTAGCCCAAATTTTTTTAAGTTTATTCAAACGATTAGAACAATTCAGAAGTAAAGAAATCTTCGAAACTCTTAAACTTAATTCCAAATTTTTTTAAGTTTATTCGAGTTGGCTGATTGCATTTGACCTCAATAATAGCCTCTAGTTCCTTTATAATAAGTGACACAAGTCTAATACCAGCAATCACTTTCGATGACAATCTTAAAAAAAAAAAAAATTATGCTGGTTTTAGAATTGGTGTATAAAAAATCTAACTTTCTATATTAATATAACTTTGTGGGGTTAAGATGTACATCTACTTCAGAAGTTTTACATGAAGATCATCCGATGTTCTTAACTAATGAAAAGGATAATGTTACCCTTCAAGTATCTGAAACAGTGCAATGTCCATCCTTTTTAATGGTATAGCAATGTTGATTATTAAATGATTAATTTTGATCAGATCCTAATTGGCACGCCACACGTGAATATTTTCTTATCTCTATCTTCTTTAGTTTCGGTATCTCCTAATCCTATTCCTCCCCGAATCCCAGTGTGAATTTTTCCCCCTCACAAGACACCTTCATCTCCAAAATTCAAGCTTTGGTGTACTCCATTTTGCAAGTTGTTGTGTATCTTAGATTATCACCATGGTTCTTCACAACCCATTTTTCCTATTCATTCTTATCCTTTTCTCGTACACAATTCATGTTAGTTGAGTTGGAGAATTTTAATAAAGTCTTTTGAATGTGATATAGTTTCAACAGAATTTCAAAAAATTTTAAAATTTCACAATACTTCTAAATTACTGAAATAAAGTAAATTCTCTTACTTGAATGACTAAATTACCATTCAATTATAATTGGTATTATTAAAATATCAAATCAAGTTATAATTTGTATAAATAACATTAGCAAAATAATAAATCAAGTTATAAGTTTTATAAGTAATATTAATATTAATAGAATAAACATAACTTTCTATTATTTTTATAATATTACTTATAAAAATTATAACTTAACTTGTTATTATAACAATGTTACTTGCAAAAGTTATAACTTGCATTGCTATTTTATTAATGTTACTTTAAAAATGGTAACTTGACTTTTTATTTCAATTATATTACTTGTAAAAATTACAATTTAACTTGTTATTATAATAATATTATTTATAAAAATCATAATTTGACTTGTTATTCTAGTAAATATACTTGTAAAAACCACAACTTAACTTATTATTTTAGTAATATTAATTATAATTAAAGGGTATTTTGGTAATTCAAGCAAGATAATTTATTTCATTTCAGTGTTTTAAGCCTTTAGTGAAATTTCAAAATTCTTTGGGGCTCGAAAGAAATTATGTCACATCCAAGAAATTTTGATAAAATTCCCCCATGTTAACGCCTTCGTCTTCGAGTGTGTTTAAATTTCAGTTGGGTATAATTGATTATAAAAAATTAATTAATATGATTGATTTAGATATAATTAATTATATTATGTGGTATATAACTAGTTTATAAAATTAATTAATAAGATTGATTTTAATTGAAATTGAAAAGCAAAATAAAAAATAAAGTAAAATTATAGTTTTGTAAAAATATATTTAAACACCCATGTTATATGTTAAAATTAATTATGAATTCAAAATCATATTTTAAAAAAAATCTAAACATCCATTATGCATGCCAAAATAAATTATGAACTCAAAATCATAATTTTCTTAAAAATATCCAAAGAGCCCCATACATGCCATAACCAATTATAAATTCAAAACCATAGTTATCTCATAAGTTACTATTATCTACTTTTCAATTCAATTTTTTAACTATATATTTCTAAATTTATGCAAAAATCATATAAATTATTTTACAAATCATATTTTTAGTTCATAATTGATTTTAACATAATAAGAGGTGTTTAGATATTTTTTAAAAAATTATAAATTTAGATTTATAATTGATTTTAGCATGTATAATAGGTGTTTGAATATTTTTAAGAAAATATAATTTTAAATTTATAATTAATTTTAACATATAATATACTTTCTCCGTGTAAAAATGTAAGGCATTTTTTATAGAGTTGGATGTTAAAAAATATGAGGTATTTTTAGTTTTTTTATATGTAATTATTAATTTTTTTATAAAAGTGCCTTCATTGATAATAATTTTATATTTATTATAAAATTTTTAATAAAATAAATATAAAAAATATAAATAATTTTAAATTAAGTAATAATTTTATTAAAATAAAATTTAATTAAAAATGATTATGTAGAGCCAACTTATTTTTTACTGAGATTGGGGGTTCTTTTTTTTAGGCCAATGAGATTGGGTTTTTAGTTCCACGTAATTTATGAAAGTAAATGGTAGTATTCTGCATAAATAATATTGAAACAAAATAATTATGTAGAGCCAACTTATTTTTTACTGCTCTTGTTATCTTATATATAAAATAAAAAAATTTATAAAATATTTTAATAATTATTATATTTATTTTTATTAAATGTAAAAAATTTTATTAAATATTAAAATATTATATTTTAAAATAGATATGTTTAATAAAGTTAGAGTTATAATTTATTAAATTTTTAGATAGAGTTAATAAATTTTAAATTTTTTTAATTTTAATAAAAATGTTAAAAATTATTTACGAGAGAAATTTATTAATTTATTAATAAGCGTAATGCGCGTAACTTTTTCACATCTTTATCCGTTTCAGACTTTCGGTGACTGGGATGTTCGGAAAGTGAGTACGTGTTCACGTGCTGGTCAATATATACCGTATCAGAGGCTGAAAAGGCTCACATGGTTCGCACCATACCGTAATCCCCCCTTGAGATTCTCACTGTCTCTGTAATTCAACGCAAATCCCTGCCCCACTTTTGTCTTTCCAGCCCGCTGATTCCGCGGCGCGCGTCGTTTCAGTCGCATACCCCACAATATAACATTCCGATTCTGTCCTTTTCATTATGCGAAATCCATTCTACCCTCGTCTTCATTAATTCCCCTCGTCATCACCAATTTGTCTTCTTCCTTTGAAATTTCCTCGCTTTTAAATCCTATCGCTTTCACCATATCGTGATTACGTTCTGCATCTCTCTCTCTAACTCACTGAGTTACGTTCCGTTGGACTCAGCTAATCATGAGGCGTTTCAGGCGATTCGAGGTCATTGAAGAACCATGCTTCTTCAGAGAAACCTCGATTGTTTGTCCAAAAACCCTCACTTTCCCCTTGTTCATTGAAGAAGATCTTGATGTTAGCTGCGCTCTTGATCTCTTCAATTTCAGCCGTTTCACGCTTCCGAGCCCCTTCGATTTCGACGTAGACGATGTCGTAACTGATCTGGTGCGCATTGATCGGACGCCGTTGTTTAAGCGAGTTCAGCGAGTGGAGAGGCTGGTGGGAACTGACTTCCACTTGCAGTCTCTGAGCGACCGTGTGGCCGAGTTGGAATCGCGGTTCGATCGGCTGGTTAAGTCGAAGGGGATCGACAGCAGAGAGCGGAAATACACGTGGACGGCCGAGATCAAGGGTCCGGAAGAGGAAGGGTTTGATAGGAAGTACCAATGGGTAGCAGAAATCGTAGAAGAAGCGAAGAAGAAGGAAGAGGAGAAGGAGAGGAAGAAGAAGACGAAGTGTGGGATTGCGAAGAACTTCAAATGGACCGCTGAGATTAAAGGAAAAGGGGAGGATAGTGGGAGTTCAAGAAAATACAAGTTTGAGGTAGACTGTGGGGATCATTCGAAAAGGACAAGAAAGAGAAGGAAAAGAAGAAGGGTGATAAAGATCAGGAGAAAAAGAATGAATTGCGCATTGTGGAGATTGAGGAGCCCCGTGAAGAAGGAGCTGTCATTTTGAGACAGGTATGGTGACTCACATTTTCTCCTGTGATTATGCTTGATTCTGTATTTGTTTGTCTTAAGAACGATGTCGTTTTCACTTTTCATTCCTATGATCTTGATCTACTTCCCACTTAGATAGGGATTAGGGAGTGGTATATAGTGCTAAACAGCAAAAATAATTTGGATTATACTTCCGTTTTTCCTATTCCTCTTCTTGGTTAGGATTTGGTCGGGTCAGCAAAATTATGTTAGCGGATAGGTGTTTCAGCACGTGGCATATGTACCGTGTTTACAGCATTGATGAATTGATTTCTATTCTACCATATTCCGTTTATGTTTGCGTTGCCTGTTACACGTAAATGTCAATTTAATGAACATATATTGTTTTAAGTACATCCGAGCAAAGCAAGCAAACGGAGATTTTCTGCAACTATGCAACAGCTACAGAAAGATAAGTCCTATTTAACAGTGGGTCCTATCATATATGATCATATCTAGGGAGAATGACAATTAAATTCGAAGAGCAACTATTTAACAGTGGGTCCTATCATATATGATTATATCTAGGGAGAATGACAATTAAATTCGAAAAGCAATGATTTAAAAATTAGACCAAACCGAATGGTCAACTTGAGTCGTTAAAGGTTCAGTTTGGATCAAAAATGTTTTTTAGGATTGAGTAAGATTGGATTGGAGTTGAGCTGTTATTGAGCTAGAAACTAGAGTTAAGTCGGCAACTAGAGCGGTTTTTAGAAAACCGGACAATTTTAAATGTAATATTAAAAAAAAGCTTAAAAAATTAGAAAAATTCAAAATTTAAATCACACTAAAAGTCAACTTTATTTTTGGGTAATTCATGTGTGTAAAATATGATTTGAGATCATTTTTTTATGAAGATGTTGGCAATTATAGATGAAAATACAGATACTGTTCAGTCTACTCATGTATGGTAAGTTATAATCATCAACCTATATTTGACGAGTTATAAAATTATAATTTATAATATTATTAATTTACAATCATGTTATGTCATTTTATTAACATACTATAGATTTTTTTTTTCTTATATTTATTTAATATATACATTTAACATTATTTTTATTTAATTTTTATGTCACCGGTTCGGCCAATGGTTTAACCCAGCTCGACCATGTAAACCGTTGGTGTTTTTGGCTTAATATCTGGTCCGGTTCGATATCCAGTTTGTTTTTGAGAACATTGCCGAAAGGATTAAGTTAATAATAGTCAGGTCCCAACAAATAATTTTGAAAGATGAGTTAAAAATATTGATTCAGAATTGTAAATTTTGGCATTGGTTTGAAAGGGCATATGCTATTGATTTCGACCGTTAGGTCTCACATGCAAAGAAGTAAACGTGACCAACCTCGGTATCTGCTATTGATTCAATCACATATGGTTTGTCTTTGCATTTATTGTAGGAAATGAAAGTCTACTCATGAAAGCTGGTATTGGTTTCATACCAATCAGTCAGTGTTGAATTTTAGGTATATTCTAAGCCAAAACTGTAATGGAGAAACAGTCAATTGTAGCCTGTCAAGTAGTTTATACTATTTCAGTCTAAGAAAAAGGTATTTTATTGTTTTTGGGGCCGTCTCAATAGTTTAGATCATCAATCCAAAAATTATGACTAATGCTTAAGGGTAGGTATATCTGGAGTTCTGGACACGAAATAATGGAGACGTAAATGCATGGACAGAATTGTTGTTACCTTTTTTTCTTTTTCAGTTTGTTATGATGAGAGAAGAGAATGAATAAGTTTTAACTAATCTTTCAAAGTCCTTCCATCTAATATATTGATTTCTTTGGACTAAGGGGACTTTGATGGAGAAATTAATTTTTATTTTTCTTTTAATTTTTAACACTCAGATAAGACAACTTTAAATTATTTATTTCATCTAATCTATCCCTTTGCACTCTTTTTTTTTTTTTAAATCTATTTGTTAATGTAGTTACCCTCCCCTCTTTACCTTCTAGCTCTCAAATGTGTTTTAAAAAAATCAACTTCACTTCTTGATGGCAGAATATAGTTTATCAGAATACCTTTTATTTAAAGAAATCAGCTCTCAAAATGAAGGTTAAAGACTGTGCTCTGCTTGCAAATTTTAAGAACGGCACTATGCTTGAGATATTTGAAATACTGATTTGATTTAGAAACAACAACAACAACAACAAGCCTTTATCCCACTATGTGGGGTCGGCTACATGGATTGCAAGACGCCATTGTGCTCTATCATTTATCAAACTTTTAGAAATATTATTAATTAAGAGATCACGTTCAACAACTTCCAAGAGTGTTCTCTTAGGCCTTCCTCTACCTCTCTTAATCGGACTCAAAGTTATATGTTCTACTCTTCTCACTGGTGCCTCCCTTGGTCTTCTTTGTACATGCCCAAACCATCTCAACCGATTTTCTACCATTTTTTCCTCAATAGGTGCCACCCTCACTTTTCACGTATGTGCTCATTTCGAATTTTATCTTTACGTGTATGTCCGCACATCCATCGTAACATTCTCATCTCTGCTACTCCAACTTTATGCTCTTGCTGTCCCGTTAGAGCCCAGCATTCACTACTATATAACATTGCCGGTCTGATAGCAGTACGATAAAACTTTCCTTTAAGTTTATTAGGCACCTTACGGTCACAAATAACTCCTTTAGCTTTTCTCCAATTAAACCACCCAGCTTGAATTCTATGTGAAATATCTCCACTGATTTCGCCATCATTTTGAATAATGGCTCCCAAATATCTAAACTTTTCCACTTGAGGTATAATTTGATCTCCCAATTTCACTTCCAAATTATTTTCGAATAGTCCTTTACCAAATTTACAATATAAATATTCCGTCTTACTTCTACTCAGACGAAAACCTTTCGACTCCAATGTCCTCCTCCATAACTCAAGTTTGCAATTAACCTCTTCTCTTGTCTCTGCTATAAGAACTATATCATCCGCGAAGAGCATACATTTCGGGATTTCCTCTTGAATATGTTCTGTCAAAACATTTAAAATCAAGTTGAACAAATAAGGACTCAGAGATGATCCCTGATGTAGTCCAATCTTTATAGGAAAATCCTTTGTTTGACCACTAGGCGTTCTTATACTAGTTTTTACCCCCTCATATATATCTTGTATGGCTTTAATATAAGCAATCCGTACTCCCTTTTTTTCCAACGCTTTCCAAAGCACTTCTCTTGGTATACGGTCATAAGCTTTTTCCAAATCAATAAAAACCATGTGTAGATCTTCATCTTTACAACGATACTTTTCCATTAATCCCCTTAGTAGATAAATCGCCTCTGTAGTTGATCTACCTGGCATAAAACCAAATTGATTCTCAGAAATACTTGTCTCCAATCTCAACCTGTGCTCAATTACTTTCTCCCACAATTTCATTGTGTGGCTCATGAGTTTAATCCCTCTATAGTTAGTACAATTCTGAATATCTCCTTTATTTTTATAAATAGGAATTAATGTACTTCTCCTCCATCATCAGGCATTTTCTTGGACCGTAAAATCACATTAAATAACTTAGTTAACCATCTCACCCCTTCTTCACCTAAACATTTCCATGCTTCGATAGATATACAATCAGGTCCGTTGGCTCTACCATTTGCCATTTTCTTAAGAGCTTCTTTTACCTCCTTATCACGTATTTTTCGATAGAATGACAAATTTTGTTCTCCTTCACCAGTTACTAAATCCTCCAAGTTACTAGATGAATCCTCTCCATCATTGAAAAGTTTAGAAAAATAAGTCTCCCATCTATTTTTAATTTCATCATCTGTAACTAAAATTCTTCCCTCTTCATCCTTAATACACCTTACCTGTTCTAGATCTCTTGATTTTCTTTCCCTACTCTTGGCAATCTTATAAATATTTTGCTCTCCTTCCTTCGTCTCAAGGTTCTTATAAAATTCTTCAAAAGCTTTAGAACGAGCTTCACCCACAGCTCTCTTAGTTTCCTTCTTAGCCATACGGTATCTCTCCCAATTTTTCTCATTGTTACACAAATGTATGGCTTTAAAACAGTTCTTCTTATACTTGATTTTGTCCTGTACACTATTATTCCACCACCAAGACTCCTTATCTCTCGGACCAAAACCTTTCGATTCTCCCAAAACTACTTTTGCAACCTCCCGTATCTTTTTAGCCATATCCTCCCATATGATTTGATTTAGAAACATTATAGTATATATGTTCTAGATTGTCAATAAGAGTAATCATGATCCTCAGAGTTTACAAGATTGGAAGATAAATTCATCGTGTGTAGTTGAAGATAAACAAATTAAAATTGCAGAGCAAACAATTGAAGTGAATTTTAATGTTGAAGCTCCTTTAGTTTCTTTTTTTCTAGTTACATGTTATGCCCTGGCTTATAATTATTAGATACACCCCGCTTGATATTATTGAAATAGGAATGCCTGACTTAGATAATAGATACATTATATTATGTTCTGATGTTTGAACTGATTAGAAACATTTTGACATGTTTTTAAACTGTGAATGAAGAATTCGTATCCTTGAGCTGAGTTTATATGGGGCCAGCGTTAGAAGCAGTTTCTGATGTTACTTTCTCTAACTACATGGATGTTACTTTACCGTTTAACCTTTCTTCTCCAGTATAATCCTTAGTAAGTAGACTATAGATTTGTACAAACTACTGCTTGAATTTAGGAACATTATATGTAGTATACTGAGTTGTCAAGTGAGGTTTCTTAGGCATTTGCGAAGAGGTTTGGAGCTGTCCAAAACCAGAGGGGCAAGAAGAAGGAGTTATCTGCTCAAGATGCTGCATTGTTGATCCAAATGAGCTTTAGGGCTTATTTGATCCGAAGGTCAAAGGCTCTCCGTGCCCTTAGAGAACTTGCTGTTGCAAAATCAAAGTTAAAGGAAATCAGGGCTCAGTTCAATAACTTTGCATACCGACGTCGTTTATGCCGTGATGCGGTGGAGCGCCAAAAGTTCTCTGAGAAAATCATTGTACTGCTTCTCACTGTCGATGCCATTGAGGTAATGTCATTTCCTCTTTGTTTTAGTCTCTTTATGCTTGCAAAGTGCTTTAGCAGTTTCCTTGTTTGCAGATTGTTTTACTTTGGATGGAATTTTCATTTGTGAAGATATCATAAACTATTGTTGTTTTATTTTTATATATTACCATTTGTCTTCAATTAAAAACTCCCGTACATTTTCAATGCATCATGACCTTTATTTTTTCTTCCTAGAAAAATTGAGTTGTATCTGTTCATACATTGTCATGACAAGTGAAAATATAGGTATAGCTAGACTTCTTTACCGGTCTGTTATACAAAGTTTGAGAATAAGCTGCACTGTTCATAGTGCATTATTATTGTGGCCTGTTAAAGATCAATATCAATATCCTCGGTGCATCTATAAAAGTTGTGAGAAGTCATATTGTTTGTGTGGCTCATCTAGGGCTTTATGTAAATGCACAAGGCTCGCTATAGTTTAATGTTGTATATTTATGTATTGATCCTTTTTAGGGTTTTGGATGACAGGGGAAATCAGGCTATGTTTGGTGTATTCATTTAAGAGACAGAATACTTTTTTTGCACAAAAAAGTGAGACATTGTTTAAACTAACATCTATTGTATAAGCACCCCCAAAGAGATTTAAAAATTTTCTTTATGCAATGTCTATTATAATCTTGATATATTATTTAAATTTTCCTGTATATTTAAAATAAAATAGGGGTGTCAGAGTCATTTTTCATTCACATCTTCATTCTCCTTCACATTACATACCGGGCATTTTGTGTATCAAGTGGTCGCTAAGATTATGATTGTTGACGCAAAGTCTTGCAGTAGATTTACCATTTTCAATCAAATCTAAAATTTTGGGAAGTGTTTTATTGTATTTTAAAATTCAGTTTCTAATTTTATAATTAGACCTTAGTTCAGAGGTAGACAGGTTTCTTCTTCTTCTTCGTTTTTGGGCCAATGGACAGGCTTTGTTCATTGGAAAAAAGAATAATTCAAATTATTACTTATAAATAAATTTACAAAAGCTTATAATTTTAGAAACACATCCGGACACACTTTTCTATTGGTTCACCTCTAATTTATCCATACGACTTTTTCAAGATGAGAATTCTATCTGAACATATTTACAGGACGTTTTACAAAGTTATAGGATAGGATCTCATGATGAATGATATTTGGGTACAGTTAATTGTTAATGGAGTATAATAGTGTTGTGTGATCTATATAGGTTACCTAGTGTGATAAAGCTGCTTGTTGTTATTGTTGCTGCTACTATGAGTCTGTGAGTCTATATCTAAAGATTTATTACATATTCAATCATTTGTGAGTATTTCATTAAATATGTCTGTACATGTTCAATCTATAGGGAGTTGACATGATGGTGCGATCTGCAAAGAGGTCAATGGTGGACGAGCTGGAAGCTATGCTTGATGTTGTGGACCCTCAGCCTGCAGGTAGATCTCTGTCCATCAAACGAAGGACCTTCGACATGCCAGATGGCCTCATTCGCAAGGAAATTGAAGAAGGAGTTGCTCATATCGTGCAAATGATTGATGAAGCCGATCAGAGCAGCAGCACTTTTGAAGCTTGCTAAGAGAGCTAAGGGGCAATAAACCAACTCAGCCACAACCGTATTGAACATAACATGAACTTGTGTTTTATACGGATTAGTGTTGGCGTGCTTCTTAGGAGATGATATTTATGCGCTTTTGAACTGGCATGGTGGTTGATTGCTAGGTGTATTTTAGTCTTGCATTTTGGAGACTTCTAAACTGAGCTTTCATCTTATGGTTTTTGTGTTGTTGAACCTTATGTGGAATGAAAGATGTTGGCTTGTTTTGCGGATCATTTTTGAATGGTCCCTTTTGATGTTAAGGGGATTTGTCTTCACTTTGTTGCCATCTCAGTCTTCTGTTTAGAATGTTTCTTCTGCTTGTTCAGGGATTGGAAAATGACGAGACTGATCCGAGCCAAAGTGGTCTAGATACTGGAGATGGCCTATTCCTGAAAAAGTGAAACTGTTCTTTTGGCGAGTTTCTCATGAGAGGCTTATTTCAAATTCCCTCAAGGTCCTTTTGAGTGTTATAGTGAGGAAGATATCACACACATTCTTGGTGATTGTAACAGAGCTAGAAATGTCTGGAGCGTTTTTATATAACCTAACATGCTTCAAAGTTTGTTTTGTTGGAAATTTGCAGGTGTGGCTTGCTTGGAATGCTCATCATAATCCTGGGGGTAACCAATTCAGTCAATGGCCGTGGGTAAAAATTTTTGGACCAGTTTAATAAGTTCGTGTTGACGTTGATGCCTTGGTGCAGAACCGATGGCAGGCATCTCGTGGAGGTGTGATCAGAAATTCAAAGGGCAAATGGATCAAAGGATTCCAGAAGGAGCAAAGGCCAATGACTGTAGTTTCTGCTGATATACAAAAGAAGTGATTAAAACAGGCTTGGAAGTGTGCAAATCTTTGGGATACCTTGAGGTGAAGTTATTTTCTGATTCCCTTGAAGCCATAAATATTTTTAAGAGGGATGGGGGTGCTGGTAGCAGATTTAGAGATGTCTTGGAACTCACGAGGAACATTATTTTAATTTATTGTCAAAATATGATACAACAACAACAACAACAAGCCTTTATCCCACTAGGTGGGGTCGGCTACATGGATTGCAAGACGTCATTGTGCTCTATCATTTATTAAGCTTTTAGAAATATTATTAATTAAGAGATCACGTTCAACAACTTCCAAGAGTGTTCTTTTAGGCCTTCCTCTACCTCTCTTAATCGGACTCAAAGTTATATGTTCCACTCTTCTCACTGGTGCCTCCCTTGGTCTTCTTTGTACATGCCCAAACCATCTCAACCGATTTTCTACCATTTTTTCTCAATAGGTGCCACCCTCACTTTTTCACGTATGTGCTCATTTCGAATTTTATCTTTACGTGTATGTCCGCACATCCATCGTAACATTCTCATCTCTGCTACTCCAACTTTATGCTCTTGCTGTCCCGTTAGAGCCCAGCATTCACTACTATATAACATTGCCGGTCTGATAGCAGTACGATAAAACTTTCCTTTAAGTTTATTAGGCACCTTACGGTCACAAATAACTCCTTTAGCTTTTCTCCAATTAAACCACCCAGCTTGAATTCTATGTGAAATATCTCCACTGATTTCGCCATCATTTTGGATAATGGCTCCCAAATATCTAAACTTTTCCACTTGAGGTATAATTTGATCTCCCAATTTCACTTCCAAATTATTTTCGAATAGTCCTTTATCAAATTTACAATATAAATATTCCGTCTTACTTCTACTCAGACGAAAACCTTTCGACTCCAATGTCCTCCTCCATAACTCAAGTTTGCAATTAACCTCTTCTCTTGTCTCTGCTATAAGAACTATATCATCCGCGAAGAGCATACATTTCGGGATTTCCTCTTGAATATGTTCCGTCAAAACATTTAAAATCAAGTTGAACAAATAAGGACTCAGAGATGATCCCTGATGTAGCCCAATCTTTATAGGAAAATCCTTTGTTTGACCACTAGGCGTTCTTATACTAGTTTTTACCCCCTCATACATATCTTGTATGGCTTTAATATAAGCAATCCGTACTCCTTTTTTTCCAACGCTTTCCAAAGCACTTCTCTTGGTATACGGTCATAAGCTTTTTCCAAATCAATAAAAATCATGTGTAGATCTTTATCTTTACAACGATACTTTTCCATTAATCCCCTTTGTCAAAATATGATACATGAACTTAAAATTTTATATGTTAGTGTAAGGTATAAGTTTTACATTAAAAACACGTGCATAATGTTAGTAGTTTTTGTTTTTACAATAAAAACTGTCTTGAACCACCAACTAAAATTGATTGAGTGGAAAGACGTTCATCATTTAATTAAGTAGTTGGAATTCAAATGCTAATCCAACTTTATATATATTTATATATATATAAAAATTTAATTTGAAAAAAATTATTTTTTTTTCTCAATAACTTGAGATAATTTCTACTTATTATTATTTTTCCTAATTGTGTATTCTTTTTTTGGTTGCCTACATGTATTGTCCTGCTATAAATAATCTTGTTAGAAACGTTGTCGAAAATGTGGGTATTTTTCCTGTGAGGATTCAAAGTCAATTAAAAGATATTAATCCCTTTTACTGAACTCTAACTTCGTGGATTACCTAATTGTGTATTGCTTGTTACCTACCAACTTTCTCACTTGGTTTTCACATCCATTTTCAATTTGGACTCATGCAACTGAAAAGTAATCTAACTCATGTGGAACTGTTCAGCTGTTCAAGCACAACAGGATTCGGATTCACAATGTGAAACTAGGTTGCTGAAGAATCACCTGCCCACGAGCAACTTACAGGCGCAGATGCAACATTATACATTTATACTGAATTATTTATGGAAGATGAAACTACTTTTGAATTTAAAAAAGGCTAAGACTTATGTACTTAACCTTATATATTTAATATACTTATATCCAATTAATATTAATATATTAATTTAATTAATAACAAGAATTTACTATAAAATAAATAATCTATAAAAGATTTATATCTTTTGATTTAATTGGATGCAAATACCTTAACTCTTGGTTAGGAGCTTATTTTGATGATTTAAAGTAATTAAATGCTAATTAGCATGTGAGATGTTACATTTATCTCACCTTTTAAATCTTATGGGTAGCCCTTCTCAAGAGCTCTTATATTTTTCAAGCTGCATCAAGTGCAAAATGAGCGGGAGTGCGACTTTTTTCAACTTGAGAGGTAGAGTTCCGCTGCTACGGGTTAAAACTAGAAGATTAGGACTTATACATGTAACTTCATATATTTAATATATTTATATTTAATTTAATTATGATAAGTGAATCTTAAAGTGTTAATTAAATTAATAACAAGGATTATTTATAAAATAAATAATCTATAAAAAATTCACATGTTTTGATTTAATTAAGAGTGAGTATATAAGTTTTTCTCAAACTAGAAGACTCTCTTAGTTAAAAAATACTCCCTTTGCTTTCAAATATAGCAGAAAATAGCCAAATTTTCACACTTTAAAAAAGTTAGTTAAGTATAATAAATATGTTTGAAATTAAAAATTTTAGACTAAATTATCCCTATAATTAATAAAATAAATTTATCTAGTGAAAATAAATATTAACTTTATAAGGGACAATTTGAAAAAAATGTTATAAATTCTTCTTGAAATTTATAGTTTTTTTTTTATAAATAGAAACAAAAAGATACATGATAGTTTCTTATAGAGTTGCACATGGATAGGGTCAGGCGATGCATCACCCTTCCTAGTGCCTTGCCTGATGTGTAGTACGGGCTAGCTTGATGCTTGAGTGTTGCGGCTAGGTTTGGCCTGATTGACCTAAAAAATTTTTACAAGCATTTTTTTTATGAATATATAAAAATGGTTTCTTTGAAAAAAAATTATTACTACTATTTAAAATATATTCTTTATAAAAATAGTATTAGAATTAAAAGAAAAATTTTTAAAAGTACATATAATCAACAATTGTCAATTATTTTTACATAACATTAAGTTAAAAACAAATTTAAAATTTTGGAAGATATTTAAAAAATTGTAATGATAAAAAATGTTTCAAAAATCATAAAAATAATATAGTTCATGATAACTTTCAACAAAAAATGATACCATAAAATAAATATCATTCACAAAAAAATTTAAAAAAACACAAAAAATGGCAAATGTTTAGTCTAGGTTGGGCAAGGCAGGGTTTAGCCCCTGTCAAGTTTTCGACCCAAAGTGCCTAAATGCCTCATGCAGGGTTGGGCTAACTGAGCATTTGGGCACTATATATGCACAATGCTAGTTTCTCTTATATTTAAAAATGGAAGGAACACTTTCTTAATCTCATATTATAAGTTACTTTTAGATAAAATCACACATATATATCAATATGATCCATTGGATACAGAATGAGATTAAAAGAAAAGGCACAAATAACATCATTGAATTTTGTTCTAATGAAAGCAATAATAACCAATGAATGTTGGATTTATTGGAAAGGGCAAGTCCCGCATAAGTCACAACGCGGCAAATTATTTCTGTCATGAGAGGTGCCCACATTTAGTACTTAATAGTGTCTCGAATGAGATTGCCTCTATTAGAAAGCGACTTACAGCAATCAATAAAAAAAAAAAAAAGAAGAAGAAGCAATAAACAACAACCATTTGCTAAATGAGTCCTGTCCAAATGAATTCTGAGGTGATGAGCTACTAATATATAGTTAGAATCTCACTAGTTGACACTTGAGAAAAATCCTGGTGGAAAACGTAAATGGAGAGAAAATTAAATTAATCTAAATAAAAAGGGTAAATGGGCTGGCCTTTTCAAATATTTTCTTTAATATTTATGACAAATGCAAAAACAATTTTTATCAAACTCGTGTTTGATAAGCATAGAACCTTATTCCAAACATATATACAATTCAACAAAATTATTTTACATTTATAATTAGAAAAAATAGTCATTTAATCCTTTATCTTGGTTGCGATTTAATTTCGCAAGTTCAACTCATCATGATTCAATTTCTAAATTTTGGTCAATTTAAAATTTCCATTTTTAACATTAGCAAATCAATTGAACCACGCTAATGTGTCTCCAAAGATGCTAACTATTTTCACCATTACTTGCTTGGCATCATGATGGTTAGTGCCTTCACATAATGTGAGTTAGATTGATGAAATGAGTTAAACGAACCAAACTTTAGAGATTAAGTTATAATAAATTAAATTAAAAAAAAAGAGAGTTACAATTGAGTTCAAATTAAATGATGAAATGAGATGATTAATTTTTCCTTTATATTTTCTATTTGTTTCCTTAATAG